TCTCTATCTTTCACCGTTAACGGATATCTATTTTCTTAATTACTTATCTCTTTTTTTCTTTCTCATTCTTTCTTTTTTCCCCCCTTTCTCCTACCAAGTTACCTATCATCCATTAAATGGGCCCAGTCCTAAGTTAATTCATTTTATATGAGTTTTATAACGAGATTAAAAGTAGAATGAGGTAATTGTTTTATGAATATATGAAAGACAGCTATAAAATACAGAGGGATTCTTTAGTGTGAGAGAGTTAGGGAAGTTTCAAGAAGAGGCACAGGAGTGGAGGCCTGAAGCGTGACTATGAATTGGTTGGTCAGATAGACGAGGAGGACAGAAGCCATCTTCTTAGGCATGTGTGAGCACTACTGAGAGAACTATAATCACCAGCCAGTTCTGGAATAGAAGCTCCTAGACTTCTGCTCTAACAAGAGTTTCCGGAGATCAGTATGTATCTTATTGACAGGCAGAAAGGGCCTCCTGAAGAGTATTATATACCTAAGGACACTCATTGCTGTGTGACTTTGGGCTAGTGACTTAATTGCTCTGAGCCTCAGCTTCTTTGTTCAAACCCTAGTTTACAAGAAATTATCCTATTTATTCTATCAGATTGAGAGCATGAACTGAGATAGTATTATGTAAAGATACTTTAAAAATTGCATTACAGATAACTAGTTGGAAGGATTTTTTTTCATTGTTTAATGAAAGTTTAGTAGAGTTTTGGAATTAGAAGCTAGAAAAAACATACTATACTATCAAGGGGACATTTATGTACATTTGGAATTATGGGAATCTTTAAAATCAATTTCAGGACCAGCAGGTGGAGTAGTGGTTAGGCACTGGACTCCTACATGAACAACTGTGGTTCAAGGAGTGGACATGGAGGGTTGAATCTCATGCTGGGTGTGTGTGACTGTGTACCCAAAATCCCAGGAGGAGAATGGAGGAGAAAGGGGTGGTGGTGTGGCTATCCATCCTAGGGGGTGATTTTTAGCTTTCTCTGTCTGTGTCTCTCTGGTGAAAACACAGACTCTATAGCTAAAATCTCTTTCTCTAAAAAAAATAATAAACAAGTAAAAATAAGAATACATTTCATACTGATTTTAAAGAATTACTGTTTAATAAATCTTTGATCTTGACTAAAGCCTCTTACTGCAAGATGATGATCAATGAAGCTATAAATAAAACCAGTTGCAGTTCTAAAACTAAAATATTTTCCTACTATGGGCTAATTTTTGACTCTTTTGGAATCTCAGGTAAATCATATGACCTTTTCCCATAGTGAGTATATAAAGAGGGTCCAATAATTTATAAATTCCACATGAAGTCATCCTGTGATTACTGAACTAAAAAATATGCAGGGTGCTATACCAAATTACACAAGCTTGACAATATATTTTTAGTAATAAATTACTATATCAAATAGCTCAGTCAAGGTGTACAAAGGTCACTAGTAGGATAATTTATTTTCTTAGGTGTTTTGCTTCTTCATCATAAGAAGTTTTTAATTAGAGCGTATATATGTATACCATAGAATAACTTTTTTAATACTACAAAGTTATTACATTAAGTTTTCTCAAAATCAGCATTTCAGTACAAATAAATATGGATACTTAAAAAACTATTATTAGACGATAATTTAAACTGATGATGTGAGAAAAATGGAATAAAGGGAATCACATTTATTGAGTACTATCCCTGCTGCAAAATACTGAATAGACATTAAATATGAAAAATGCTTAGACCTCATTTTAGAAAGAAGAAACTATTCAGAGAATTTATACCTATTTTCAAATATCTTATAGCTTATTATTGTCACATTACCACTGGAATAATGCATTTAACCTAATAATTCATTTTTATCGGAGAAATGTTAATTTAATGCAAATTATGTGCCAGGCATGTATTCAGAGCTGGTTGTTCAGGACTGCAGAGAATAGATATTGTTTCTGCCTTTGTGGACTAGTACCCAGAACTGTGAATGAAAAGATACTAGAAGTAATGCAATCCAGATGTAATTCAGGGGTATTGTGCTCCGGAAGAGGGTGTTGTTAATGACAATTAAAAGAAAAGTGTTTATTCCATGGAATTTGTGAAGTAGCATTTATGGTTTTGAATTTCAAGGATAACAGAAAAGGAAAAAAACTGAAGGAAAAGAAAATTTGGAGTAAGAATTTTTTATGTTTATTGTTAGGGATGAAACTTTTTAGAATGATCAGATAAGACCAGTGACCTATATCAGAAAAAACACAAGAGGGAGAAAGGCTGCTCAACTGAATGACAAGTGTCTCATAATGAAGGTTATCAGAAAATAAAATTAGCAGCTTTGTGAAGTCTCCTATTGGCATTTAGTAAGATACTGTCAAAATAATCATTCATTTCTTTATTGTCAGAATTCCAGTATTTAGTAGAAGGAGTGCTCTTCCTGAGTTTATATTCCAACTTGGATTTTCATGGTGATTATAGTAAAAATTATGAAAACAGTGATTTAAATAAAATCTAGAAAGGAAAATCTTAGATAAGTAAATACAAAAAAGAAGCCAGAACCTAAACCAAACCAACAACACTTTTTTGACTGAATAGTAATATAAAGGGCAGACATTGGGTAAAGAACAGAAGAAAAGTTTTGTTTGGATTAGGTATATGAAGGTATGGAAGTCTATTTATAAATTATAGAAATATTACCAATCATGGTGTCTAGACCTCAGCACTATTGACATTCTAGCTCAGAGGTTAGTTTGTTTTGAACACTGTTCTGTGCCTTGTAGAATTACCAGTGTCCTTGGATTCTACTACGAGATGCCAATGGCATCCTCCTCTCCTCTGCTATGACAATGGAAAATTGTCTTCACACATTATAGAATTTCATCAGGAGGGCAAAAACACCTATTGCTGATATTACTAATATACATATGTCAACAACTCCATTTTTCTAAATTTCTTCAAGAATGGAAAGAAGGGAACCAGCAGTTAGCATAATGGCTATGTTGCTGGACTCCCACGTAGTCGACCGTGGTTCGCGTCCCGGACCCGGTGGCTTAAAACTCACGCCGGGCGCATGTGTGTGCGTGCCCAAGATCCCGAGAAGAGAATGGAGGAGAAGGGATTGCGGCATGACCATCCCCCCTGGGGGGTGATTTCTCGCTTTCTGTCTCTATGTCTCTCTCTGTCTGGCGAGCGCATGTGCCCTATAGTGAAAATCTCTCCAAAAAAAAAAAAAAAAAAAAAAAAAATGGAAAAAAAAGGAACCCTAAAGAAAAG